CCCTCGGTTCCCTCCAGTTACCGCCCAGTTTCAAATCTCTCGTTCCTGGGCAAGGTGATTGAGAGGGCAGCAGCGGAGCAGTTGCAGCAATTCCTAGACAACACAGCCAGACTAGATCCCTTCCAATCTGGCTTCCGTGCAGGGCACGGGACAGAGACTGTGCTGGTCTCCATCACGGATCACCTTCGATGCCAGCTTGACCAGGGCGGGTCAGTGCTGCTCGTGCTATTGGATCTCACAGCAGCATTTGACACAGTCGACCACAATCTCTTGACCCACCGCCTTGCTGTTGCTGGAATCAGGGGGACAGCTTTAAACTGGCTGTCCTCCTTTCTTCACAACCGTGGACAGCGAGTGGAGAGGGGAGGCCTGGTCTCTGAGAGGTCCCCTCTATCTTGTGGGGTTCCTCAGGGGGCCATTCTCTCCCCTCTGTTGTTTAACATCTATATGCGACCACTTGCTCAGCTGGTTCGAGGTTTTGGGCTTGAGTGTTATCAGTATGCCGATGACACTCAGCTGGTGCTGAAGATGGAAGGCCGACCGGACTCTGTACCCGACTGTTTCCATCAGTGCCTCGAGGCCGTTACTGGATGGCTGCGTGCCAGCAGGTTGAGGGTGAATCCAGCAAAGACGGAGATCCTATGGCTGGGTCGACCGGGCAGTGGGGACATCCAGCTGCCTACCCTGGATGGCGAGGCGCTACGCCCGTCATCATTGGTAAAGACTCTGGGAGTCCTTTTGGACCCTCTGCTGACGATGGAGGCCCAGGTCTCCGCCGTGAGCAGAACCGCCTTTTTTCATCTGCGGCAGGCTAGACGGCTGGCCCCCTACCTGTCCAGGACGACCTAGCTACGGTGATCCAGGCTACGGTCATCTCAAGACTGGACTACTGTAACGCCCTCTACATTGGCCTTCCTCTGTCGGTGATCCAGAAGCTCAAGTTGGTACAAAATGCAGCTGCTCGGCTTCTTGCTGGAATTCCGATGAGATGCCACATAACACCAATCTTACTACAGCTGCATTGGTTACCAATTGAGCACCGGATCACTTTCAAAGTGATGGTACTCACCTTTAAGGCCTTGCATGGTCTGGGGCCAATGTATCTGAGGGACCGTCTCACCCCCTACCAACCCCAGAGATCCCTCCGTTCTGAGGACCAAGATCTATTGGAAGTCCCCAGTGTCAAGACCTTGCGTCTAACGGCAACCAGACGCAGAGCCTTCACAGCAGTGGCGCCATCAGTCTGGAATGCTCTGCCACCTGAAGTTCGTGCCCTGCGGGACTTACCAGCTTTCCGCAGGGCATGTAAGACATACCTGTTCCGACAGGCTTTTAATGTTTGATACTATTGTTTTTAAATTGTTTTAAATTGCTTTTAAACTTTGTTAGATTTTAGCTATTCTTGTAAGCCGCTCCGAGCCCCAGGGGAGTGGCGGCATATAAGTTTAAATAATAAATAAATAAAATAAATAAATGTTAAAGCTATAACAGTGTTCTAAAGATAGACTGCATTTACAGTAATTATGTTAGCAAGCTACTATTATTAAACATGAGAAAAATTGAACTACTTATCATGATGTAATATGATATATTGACATATATGCCTGACAGAAATATAGAAAGATAATGATTGATATTTTATGGCTGGAAATTTTAAGTTTGGGGAAAAGGAAAATATTTTCTGCTGTTGAGAAATAATGTGATAGGGGATGGAAATGGTTCGGGTTTTTTATTCAGAGAGACATGAAATAATTTGAGTTGTATATACATTTTTTAAAAATATGTTTTATTGCATTTTCAGATAACATAAAAAGAGGGGGAACAAATGGTATAGGAAAGTAGGAAAGTATAGAGCAAGATTCATATATATATGTTTAAAAAAAGGGGGGGGGGAGAGAGAAAAGGGGGGTTAGGGTTAAGATGGGGTGTTTGGTTGAGTTCCAATCTTCTTCACCTTGGATAGGTCTTTTCTTTAATCTTTTACTTCTCCTAAGAATTAGACAAGCTTCTTTCCGTAGACTCTCTTAAGAGCAATTCTTATTTAACTTTATCTTATATCTATTATCCATTTCAGGTTTTCTTGTATCATGAAGTTCTTTATAGGTGTCTAGTCTGTCTTGGGTATTTTGTTATTCTGCTTTATGGTCATCCGTTGGGTTAGTTTGTCCATATTCATGATATCTAGTATTTTCATTAACCAATCTTCTTGATATGGTATTTCTTTCATTCTCCATAATCTAGCATAATTAATTCTGGCTGCCGTCACTAGGTAATTAAAGGGTTTGTCCTTATTTAAATCCATTTCAAAATCTATTATTCCTAAAAGAAAATATTCTGGTTTTAATTACATTTTTATGTCCAATATTTTTTCTATTTTTTCATGCATATTTTCCAATATGATTTGGCAATTTTACAGGTCCACCACATATGATAGAAGGAGCCCGGTTGTTCTTCACACTTCCAGCATTTATCATTAATGTTTGGATAACATTTAGCCAATTTCTAAGGAGTGATGTACCATCTGTACATCATTTTTAACCAGTTTTCTTTTAAGTCAAATGCATATGTGTATTTCATTTTTTTATTCCACATTTTCTCCCAGTCTTCTAATTGTATTGCATGTCTGATATTTGCTGCCCATTTAACCATACAGTCTTTTATTAGCTCCGTTTCTGTAGCCAATTCTAATAACTTCTTATATATTTTTTGTTATTGTTGTATATACAATTGAAAGGAAGAATTAAATTTACCTCTTTATTCTTTATCTTTTGTGCTTTATCTTTTTCTTTTTTTCTCATTTCTTTTTCCCTTTTTGTTTACTTGTAAAATTTTAGTGGATTTTGAAGTTTTTGATAAAGTATTATATAAAAAAAGAATAAGCAGATAATGTCCTGAGGACTCAGAAAGAAGTGGATAGAACATTTTTTTCTTCATTTAGCCATTTTCCCTCTAAAATTGTGCTTTTAAGTTTGAAAAAGTGAAGGCTAGATTGAAGAAGGTATGAATAAATAGCTTACTTTAAGCACTACTGCATATTTCATGTATTTGACCATTTTTAAATTTTGGATTGTATCATAAAAATTTTGGAATGTCTCATAAAAGTTTCTATTGTGTAATGCTATGATTCATCAGAAAAGACATGATGCTTGGTAAAGGTGAAGGCAGTAGGAAAAGAGGAGGGCTCCACTACAGGTGAAGTCATTCAATCAAGGAAGCCATGACCATGAGTTTGCAAGACCTGAGCAAGACAATTGATAACCAGGGCTCTTGGAAGTCTCGGTTATAGAGTCACCACAATTTAAAGCCAACGTGATAGCAAATAATAGTACATCTATTTTCAATCCTAAAAGTTGTTTTCATGAACATGCCATTAGTTTCAGAATTTGTTCCTTTTGCATAGAATAATTAAGTTGGATGATACCTTGTGGAACATCAAGTCCAACCCCCTGCCAAGAAGCAGAAAAATCACATTCAAAGCATCCCCGACTGATGGCCATCCAGCCTCTACTTAAAAGCCCCCAAAGAAGAAGCCTCCACCACACTCAGGGGCAGAGAGTTCCACTGCTGAACAGCTCTCACAGTTAGGAAGTTCTTCCTAATGTTCAGGTGGAATCTCCTCTCCTGTAGTTTGAAGCCATTATTCCGCATCCTAGTCTCCAGGGCAGCAGGAAGTCATATGGAGGAGACAGCTTGCTTGCTCCCTCCTCCTTATGACTTCCCCTCATATGATGTCGTTGATGTTCTATGACATCATCAGCACTTCTGTAGCCCACATTCAATACAAAATACCAAAATCAATGAGATTCAGACCTTGTTCATAAAGCATGCCTTGTATGTTGCATCCAACCCAGGCATGTAGGGGGGGGGGGGGGGCTTGGGGGGCTTCAGCCCCCCCCCCCGAAATTCTCATGGTGGTTCGCGAAAAGGCCTTACTGGTGCATTATTTAAACTGTTATGTTTATTCATATCATGATCTGATCACCATACTCAATATATCCCATATGCATGGGGGTATTGGGGTAATAAACAAAAGGTTTGCTAGGATAGACCCTTTCACTCAGACTCAGCGCCCCCCGAAACTCAGCCCCCCCCAAAAAAACCCCTGAAAAAAAACACCCCCCCCAAAGAAATCTGCTACGGCCTGATCCAACCCAGGCATGTAGCCAGGGGGGGGGGGCTTGAGGGGCTTCAGCCCCCCCCTCCCGAAATTCTCATGGTGGTTCGCGAAAAGGCCTTACTGGTGCATTATTTAAACTGTTATGTTTATTCATATCATGATCTGATCACCATGCTCAATATATCCCATATGCATGGGGGTATTGGGGTAACGATACAAAAGGTTTGCTAGGGTAGACCCTCTTTCACTCCGACTCAGCCCCCCCCCGAAACAAACTCCCCCCCAAACCCCCCTGAAAAAAAAACAGGCCCCCCCCCAAAGGAAATCCTGGCTACGGGCCTGATCCAACCTGTATGCTATCACTGAATGCTGATCTTAGTTAAAAAGGTACAGTGTATGAGAAATAGTAGCAGTGGGTTCAAGCAAACACCAAGTTTGCAAAAATGAAATACAAATAGAAATAATTTGAGAGGAAACTGAGTTGACCCACAAGTGGCCAAATGACAAATGAGCATTCTTAATGGACACAGAATATTGAATGCCTGGGGATGACTGAAAAAAGAGTGGATTCAACCGTAAAGAAGGCAGGTTCTGTTTACTTTGCATAAAGAGGCAGGGGTGTTTAATAATTCCACAGAATATTAGCTATTATGTAGTGTTTTAGCCAAGGAAAGTTCTGGTATCCAAAGTTTTGGATCTTATATTTTAAAGACAATAAAATATAAGGCATTCCAGTTTTAAAGTTATATTCTTTTAATTTATGAAGGTTCGAAACATGTAGGGTGTTGTGGAAAATGTAACTATAAGACTGCCTTATTTAGATTTGCACATTTGTTCCTGTCATGTCAGCTTCAAAGCAGGTCTTTTCTCCCTTAATTTCCAGGAAAGACCAGCTGGTTTCCTCCAACCATGAACCCACAGATATCTCCAGAGGTCAGACCAACTGCTACCCATTTTCCAAGATCTCATCTTGCAGAAGCCATTGCCAAGGCGAAGGGTGGTGGTGGTGGAGGAGGAGGTGGCGGTGGAGGTGGTGGAGGAGGAGGAGGCGGTGGAGGAGGAGGGAGTGGAAGAGGTCTTGTGGGACAAGTCATCCCGATATACGGATTTGGGATCCTTTTGTACATTTTGTACATTCTTTTTAAGGTAAGAAAATGATACATTGCCTTTCAATTTATAACTGCATTGATTCATTCTCTTGGAAAAAATCAATCTGGAACTAGCTTTAATGGAGGTGTTATGACCAAGACTGTATTTATTTCTGCTCTGTTGAAACTTGCCAAGATAAGAGTGAAATGCCTGAGTAACAGATGGGTGCATTCCTCTTGACAGACTTTGCTACAGCATGCGCTGCAGTCACAGGTTGTGGAACCAAGCTGGGTTGTTGAAGCACTGTTAAAGAGCCACCACTGAGCCTTTGTACAGTGGAAGGCACATGGCTTTATGGCAGATTTGGATGCTGCGAGGTCAGACTTTGAACAGCCAGAAAATCTTTTCTTTCTTCCTTTTTTCAAACACACAATGGAAAACAAATGAGCTAAAATTTTAAAAGAAGAATCAGTTCACAACTTATCTTCTCCTTATAGTGGGTATTCTTCTCAAATAGGACAGGGAGGAAACTTAAGAACAATCCCAGATTTATATATTTATCAGTTATATTAAATGTTTCTTGATAGATTTTACTTAACCTGAAGGTCACAGCTTTTTGTCAGGCTGATCCAATTTTTCCCTACTTCAATTACAATTCTCAAACTTCTAGTTTTTTTATTAGTTGATATCCAACATTGCATGAGCAGAAGGAAGACTTTCACAGTGGATCTCTCTCATTTCTCATATCACTCAGAAGGTTCTCCACATGCAAGTTGACCTCATGTATAAACTGAGGGAAGATTTAGGAGCCAACATTATGGATTTTGACATGATCCATGAATAACTCAAGGACAAAACTGGGGCTTTTTAGATCCATTCCATGGAGATGCAAAAGTACCAACAGCCTCAAGAGGGGCCAGTTGCCCCTGGCTGCTGCTACCATTATCCTATCTAGGCATTCAAAATGGCCTTTTATAATTCTGTCACTCTAAAAGAAGTACCAACATTTTGTACTTTTTCTGGCGCCTTTTGTGGTGGGAAAATGATGTTGGTGCCTGGTGCTTCTCCACTGCAACAGAAACTTCTGTCCATCATGGCAGGAAGCCCCCAGAGTCACTGGTGAGAGCAGAGTGGGAATTGCTTCCTTTAGTCACCCAGCCCGAACTAAACTCTTAGACGTTTGGAGTTAACTGCATGCCAAGAGAGCCTGAAAGAAACACCCACCCTCTCTGTACTCTCAGCTGTGGCAGGAAAGCTCCAAAGCTGCCAGAGAAACAACAGAGGGATGGTTGCTTCCTTCAGACGTTTCCAGCACAGACCAAGCCCTTGGACACCTGGAGCTTACCCAATGCTGAGAGAACCTGAATGAAGCACTCAACCTCTCCACTGTCTCCGAAACAGTGAGGAAACCCCAAACATCCTCTCAAGAGAGAGCAGAGATTATCGTCTCCTTCACTAAGCTCTCAGACCTTTAGATCTTAGCCCATGCCAAGAAAACCTGGAAGAAGCACCCACCCCTCTGATTTCTCTGCTGCAGCAGGGAAACACCAAAAGAGCCACGGGAGAGAGCACAGAGGCAGCCATTGCTTCCTTCAGGCTCTATTAATATCAACTAAGGTCTCAGAGCTTGCTCTTGGACCTAGAGAGCCTGAAAGAAACACCCACACCTTTGCTCTATCACATTAGGGAAGCCCCCAAAGGCCTTCTGCCACAATTTTCTGGAGCAGGCATAACAAAGGCACCACCATGGCAGACAAGTTACTGCATCACTTGACCCAGTTCTTTTGGGTCATTTTTTTTACTCACCTTATGAGTCACCTTATGACTCACACACCTTATGACTCGCACACGTATGACATCAAATTTTATGTCCTATATCTTTAAAAGGTACAGTGGGAGGGGGAATTGCCAGAAATCAAGCAAAGGAAGCTTATTCCAAATTTCCCCATTGAGATAATGGTCTTCTACCACTGTAGCCCATTAATACATGAGCTATTATGTTTAGTAGGTTCTCTTGATCATCTGAAGGAGAAAATTGGGAAGGAGGGTGGAAGGAAAGACTATTTATTATGAGTTTGTCTTTGACCATAGAGCATGAGCTATGGCCCATTGTTTACTGTGTTGTAAATCAAACAAAACAGGGAAACTAGTTGCATATTAGAGGAGATATGGCAACTTTCACTTTCACTTTCCACTGTCCATATTTTCCAATTACTTGCATGTAGGATTTGTGGAAATAGTTTACCTTCAGAGGTGTGAGGTCAAATTTTCTGGTCTCTGGGCCTAACAAAATGCCCCCAGTTGAGAGAGAGAAAAATCAAACTCAACATTTGCAGAAATATACTTCTGATTTGAAGAGCCATTTTAGTAAACAGTGTATGAGGTAGAGCTGTTTAGAAGATGTCTATGAAATACAATTCAAACTTCATTGAAATGATGATGATGGTGATGATGTCTGGGAGTTTCAGGCTACTATAAGAATAAACAGAGGGGCTTTGGTCTGTTCTCTTCTGGTTAAAAATACACCAGGTTCAAACTGTCATTTCATCCTGATGAAGGTTTGTGAGTATAAGCAAATCTCATATCATGAGTTTGGACTGGATGAACAATGGTGATTATTTTATAATTGGAAGCGAGAGGTTTCTCCTCTCCTGTCATGTAAAGAGGTCCCTTGCATGTCAGGAAATGATGGTTTTCTGTAATGTCTGAATGGAGTTTCTCTCAATATGTCTTTGGGAATCGCTTTTGACACTGGTGCTACTACTATATAGTAACCATTTTCAATTCACAGCTTTCTTCTAAGGGGAAAACTGTGGTGGTTGAACGGAAGTGTCCACCTTCAGCATCGGGAAACATGAATAGGAAGATCAGTAAGTAGCATTTCCAAGGCTTGTGTTGAAATTATGTTGAGAAAAACGGCATGCGGGTTGTTTTTACTGCATAGATAATGCTGCTCTCCATGTTTCTTTCTATTTGTAGGCTTGCCTTCTTGTGTATTGTATTTTAAAAGTTACATTGTATTCATTGATAGATTAGGCTTTTCTTGGTCTCACAACCATCACAAGTACAATTGGTGAGGACCTGGGAGGTACTCCTAGGCTTTTACCTCCCTCTCTTTTCACCGGAAAGCAAAGGGTTTCTTATTTACCTAACCAAACTGGTCATTTTAGAACTGGTTATTTATATGATTATTATGTTTTAATTACCTTTTTAACAGCTTTAAATTGACAGTTAAATAAGCCTGTTTTTAACATCATAATAAAGACATCTTGAATTGTCTAATTTTAGGACCTTACTGAGGTTCCCTTGAAATGTGTTGTACAAAAATGTGAGGAGGAGAGCACACTGGTTTTGCTCATGTCGTCCTTGTCATTGCTGTAATCTAAAGAAGAGAATCTTTCGTAATGCCTGAGAGCAATCCATATCCACAAGAGTCTGGATTTTCCTGTCTTCCAAATTCAGAAGTGACTTTCCTCTTAAGACATAGGACCCTTTCACACTACACAATTATAGTACTCGGATCCAACTTTAACTTCCATGACTACTTCCTGGAATTCAGGGATTAGCAGTTTGGCCAGTTGTTCCAGACCAGTGCTTCTCAATATGTGGCCTTCAACCAGGGCCGGCCCTAGGTAATTTTCAATGGTAAGCAAACATTATTTTGGCGCCCCCTCCCCCCAACCAATCACTGAAAAATAAAACGTAGAAGGTAGAGGTGAATAAAAGAGTTACCTTACAAACCAGAAATTTACTTACAACATTATGTTTATATAGTTACATTACACAAATTAACTTTTTTAAGAATGCAAATATTTTACTAAACTTAGCAACAATTTTAAGTTTTTGTTGTTATTTTTGGTCTACAAGTACTACACAAAGGTTTCCTGGTCATGCTGTCTCTTCAGAGAAGATTTTTCAGACTAGGGGTTTGCTAATAACAGAGAACTCAATCCCATGCTTGTTGGGTCTGTCAATCAGATTTGTTTTGGAGAACGCAGCCCCAGGAGAATAGACACCTCCTTTTTAAGAAAGTGAACTCTTGTCCTTCAAAAGTGCCATGCCAGCCTGGACCATTACAATGGGTGTGGCAACATAGTCAGCCTCTGGCCCCTTCACTTTAGTGGATACTTTAACATCCAGTTTTCCTTAACACAAATAAACTTGAACACTTTTAAAATTAAAAAGAGATTTTTCTGGCTTTCGATTTTGAAAACTCGTGTACTATTATATCTATTTCCATTTCATCCAACAAGCCATTTTCAATGGCCAAGGTTGCTAGTCCACTCAAGCGCTCTTGACTCAAAGTTGATCTTAAATACGTTTTTATAAGTTTTCTAAGATCTACAGAGACACTCGCTGGAACACCTCAGCAAGCGAGAGTCCAAAAGTGGCAGGCTCAAACCCAGCACCTCAGCCCATGGCTGATACCAGATGAGAGACTCCCCCCTGGGCACACAGAGGACTGGGCGACTTGGAAATGGAAAGGAATCACACAGGATCATATTTTTGCAGTCCATTAAGTGTGTTGATGACAAATCAGATAAAGGAATACTGGGGAAATTAATATAAAGCAGTGTGTATAAAGGGACATTACATTTGGTAATCTAATGCAGGCTTTAAAAGGTTTTAAAGATCAAGTCAGGGTCTGCTGCAGTTTTTAGTTTTGGATATGTTTTTTATGGATTTTAACTGAATTTTTAAAATACCAATGATATTTAATTCCATTTTAATGTTGTGCATATTTGTGGATTTTAGACTGTACTGAAATGTTTTTAATCTAAGCCAACTTGAGTCTTCTTTGGGAGAGAAAAAGCAGGGTATAAATAAATAATAATGTGTTGTGGAAGGCTTTCATGGCCAGAATCACTGAGTTGCTGTGAGTTTTCTGGGCTGTATGGCCATGTTCCAGAAGCATTCTCTCCTGACATTTTCCCCACATCTATGGCAGGCAACCTCAGAGGAACAAAATCTGGCTACCAGTACCCTCTAAAATCAGAACAATAAATAAAGAGCAACACTAAAAAAGGGGGGAATTCCTGACATGAAGCAATCAGGGCCAGTTAACCGCTCCCAACAAAGGATTCCTGGGCACCAACTAGCTCGGCTTCGAAGCTGCAAGGCCATTAAATACTCATCAAGATGACCAATTGCAACATTCACACTTACCTCAAGCAGACATGAGTTCTTTTTCCCACCCTGGACATTCCACAGATATACAGACCCCACTTGCCTAGTTACAAACAGACCTCACAGCCTCTTGAGGATGCCTGCCATAGATGTGGGTGAAACATCAGGTGAGAATGCTTCACCAAGCACCAAAGAGCATTCTGAACTCCACCAATAATAGAACTGAACCAAACTTGGCATACAGGACTTCCATGACTAACAGAAAATACTGGAGAGGGGGTTGGGAAAAATAGACCCTGACATTTGGGAATTGCAGTTTACCAAGCACCAAAGAACATTCTGAGCTCCACCAACAATAGAATTGACCCAAACTTGGCATACAGGACTTCCATGACTAACAGAAAATACTGGAGAGGGGGTTGGGAAAAATAGACCCTGACATTTGGGAATTGCAGTTTACCAAGCACCAAAGAACATTCTGAGCTCCACCAACAATAGAATTGAATCAAACTTGGCATACAGGACTTCCATGACTAACAGAAAATACTGGAGAGGGGGTTGGGAAAAATAGACCCTGACATTTGGGAATTGCAGTTTACCAAGCACCAAAGAACATTCTGAGCTCCACCAACAATAGAATTGAACCAAACTTGGCATATAGGACTTCCATTACCAAATACTAGAGAGGTTTGGGGGAGGCATGTACAAAAGATGACATTTGCAGTACCTTTTGACGAGGCCTCCTTGCTGCCCTGAGAGGGGTCCAGGCTCAGCTGCAGGGAAGGGAAAGCGAAAGCGAAAGAGCCTAGCTGGCTGCCTCCCTCCTGGCAGCACGTGGAGGGAGGACTTCCCTCTCGCCTAGTGGGCGGGCCTGCGCTTCTCCATTAGAAGGCTGTTGAGGGCGCATGGGGCCTGCAGGAGGAGGCGTGGCCTAAGGACAAAACAGCGCCCCCTGGCAAAAAAAGGATTCCGCGACCGCTTACTTCGAGTAATGGACGGGCCGGCCCTGCCTTCAACTCCCAGAAATCCTAACAGCTGGTAAACTGTCTGGGATTTCTGGGAGTTGTAGGCCAAAACACCTGGGCACCCACAAGTTTAGAACCACTGTTCTAGTCCTCTTTGCCTGAGAAATCTAAATGCCCCTCCTGATACTGCAAATCCCAGGATTCCATAGCATGGAAGCAAGGCAATTAAACTGGAATCATAGTGCTGCGACTATAATGGGAAAGAGTCCGTCCTGTTTTGTATCAGCAAAGTGGTGACAGAAAAAGGTGAGGATGTTCAAACACTACATTCACTTTCCTACACCTATTTATAAGATACCTTTTTCATTATTACATTATTCTGCATATTCAGTTTCACAATTCTAGAACTAGAAGTTGAACTATATTCTCTGTTTTTTCCAATGTTATGCTCTCAGCCTTTCATTTTCTTCTGATATTTAAGAATAAGATTAAAGGATTTAATGTGTCATATTTTATTATATCTTTGGGTTTCATATTTAAAATGTAGTCCTACCCAGATGTGAGCCCAACTGACAACAGCTGGACTTCTATTTCTTTCAAAATAGTTCTGTTCTACCATGGTGTATTGAGAGGGGTTTGAAAAGTATTTGCATTAGAAGTGTATTTTTCTGATGTCAAAAGGAGTTTAGAAATTTCTTTATACATACTGCAGGTGAGGCTCTTCGGCCTGGAGGACATGCTCCACCTTCTATACCCCTCGCCAGCATGTCTATTTGAATGCTTATAGTGAAAGTGAACCTAGACTGCACAGCTGCAGTGCTTTAATGCCACTTTATCTACCATTTATATGTGCTATGAAATCCTAGAATCATGATGTTGTCAGTTTCTTAGAATTATCTGGGAGTTAACTGCAAATCCCACAGTGCTAGAAGTTAGAATCATGGCATTTATAGAGCTGTGAAACTGCTATAAGTATCTAATGTATATACATTCATGGATGCGAACAACAAAGGATTCTGATTTGATTGCTTCTGTTATTTGTAGTGCACTGAGTCTAATTCCCAAGGAAACAATGCATAGAACAGCAGCAGCCTTGGTTTCCTTCTACTTGACCAAAATAGTCCTTAGCTTTCCTGCTGAATATTATTGATGTCATTAGGCCAGGTGGCTTGCTGTGTCTCAGCCTTTCTTGTCTCTAGGCTTTCTCAGGCAGCCAGTTGCTCTGCAGGTTGCCGCTGATGAGCAATTGGGTGCATTATATATGCTTTCCTTAGCCTGAGGGACATCTCCCTTTTCATCTTCTGCCTGGGAAGAATAAAAGATAATTTCCATTAATTTCGTTGACTAGCAAAGCCTTCATAGTCATCGCTCCTGGTTTGCTCAGAGCAAGTCCTATTTTTGCAAGCTGGTTGCTGAAGGCAAGCCATACTCAAAGAAGCGAATTGATGGATGTGAGGCTGCTGACAGATGCCTGTTTGTATTGCAGCTGACTATGAGCTTGCCCAACTTCAAGAGAAGCTGAGGGAGACTGAAGAAGCCATGGAAACATTAATCAACAGGGTGGGACCCAACTATGAAAGGTATGTGTGCATTATACGTTTAGTACAACACATGAATATCTGCTTTGCTCTTGCACTTAGAACATACAGCACGTTAATCTTTCTATAACGCTCAGTGGACATTCCTGGACTCCAGAAATCCCTCTCTTATTGATCCATCATCAGTGACATATTTTTTTTAATTTCCTAGTTTTTTTTAGTAAAGTGTTTTACTAAACTGCTTTAGTGCTATTGATAGTATAATTATATTTTAGTTGTAATCTTTTGTATGCTTTTATCAATATTGTATCTGGTGTGATTATAGGCATCCTTGAGTCTTCATTCTACAAAATGCTAGGAAATAAAATAAGTAAAAATCTCCCAAATACAAATGATTTTTAAATCAAAATATAACCGTGTCAGAAGTTACTTTATTATTAAGATGTTGTTTAATCACAAGTCATGTTTTCCTCTTCCAGTTTTTAGTTTTGTGTTTAAGTCAATATGTTGAATTTTATTTTGTATCGAAGAAATCCCTACAATTTTTAGTATGAAAAATTTCTATGAGTAAATAGTTTGCTGGTCTGTTAATAAACACAGACCAGCAAACACAGAAAGTTTAGCATAGTTATCATCTTCATGAACAATCTTGCCTGCTTTCTAGCCTTGTAAAATATTCACCATTATTACAGAATTTCAGAAGAAATTCCTGTCCTGTAGATTCACATTAGATGGATTTATGGAATAGAGGAGAGCATCACCATGTGGACATCTAGGAGTAGGAAAAAAAGGAAAACACTTCTTTAGATAGATTCATTTGACAGAGAGTTTCTTCTGGACACTTACTGGGCTATGCACTTTATGTGCTTTTAATCGGTTTTTAATCTATTATTATTCTATGTGTTTATTTGCTTGACTGTTTTAATTGTTTTAGTTAACAAAATATGTTTTATGATTATGTTTCAAACAGTATTGAATCTTGCCAGAGTTGTAAGCCGGCTTGAGTCCTCATACAGGGGTGAGAAAGGCAGTGTATAAATGAAGCAAATAAGTAGTTGTATTTGCCTGAATTTGTTTGAGTTTTCCTTACTATCCACTACAATGTGAATATTTAACCATCAAAATTAAGATGTGCCCTTCCCTTTCAAAACAGATTATATGAATAGATTCAGTTTTCAGCCAGTTCAGCAACAAAGCAAACAAAAAAACCCCAAAAATAAAACCTTTGATTTTTTTTTCAGCCATACTATAAGTTACTGTTAGCATCCTAACGAGATTGAGAAAACGAGATTGAGAAAGGAGGTCATGCAGAGGCCTAGGATGATAATCTGAGGTCTGAGACAAAGGGAAACAGATATACATAATCCGCAAGATCAGACTCAGACACACTTTCTTTGTTTCATGCCTGTTTCTGGTCTCCTTTTTAATTTGAGCTATTTTCAGCCATTCTATAAATTACCCTAAAGCTTGAGAGCTTTCAGGGAAATGATTGGCAGATAAATAAAGTTTGTGAAGTCTACTTTATTTTTACTAATACTTAATGATCCAAAGCTTTGTACAAAAAGCATTACCGTAAACCCAATTTAGGTATTTAATAATAATAATAATAATAATAATAATAATAATAATAATACACTTTATTTATAACCCGTTACCATCTCCCCAAAGGGGATTCAGTGCGGCTAACATGAGGCAAAGCCCAAAATAATACAACATAATAACACACAGTAACAAAATACATCATAACAAAATATAGAATAACAAAATCAACAATATAAAACAGCATATTAAAACCAGACACGGAGGGCGGGCCAAATGTGTGAGGTAAAATGTTAAAAAAGTTAAAACCCTGGGTGAGACACGGATAAAAGTGCATTTGTAGAAAAGGAGCCCAATAGGGAGGAACCATGGGATTTAGCCATTTGGGGGGGGGGGGGGGGGAGATGTGTGTGTATGTGCCTTTAACTTGTCAACTTATGGCAACCCCATGAACTTCATAGTATTTTCGTAGGCAGGTTTCGTCCTCTTGAAATATAGCCTACACTATCTGGTATTCATTGGTGGTCTCCTATCCAAGTACTAACCAGGACTGACCTGCTTAGCTTCCAAGATCAGACAGGACCTGTTGCCATTAAAGTATTTAGCACCCAAGGGTAAAATTTAGGGCAAGATGCAGTTTAAAATTGCTAACACATTAGAAATTAGAATTTGTTCTGATCTGTTTCAGTTCACCCAGAGAGCTGTCAGCAGATCCCAACCCATTTTCTTCCCTTCCCTGCAATGGGGCTGTTAAGAAACAGAAGAATTCAAACAGGAGGCGGATGCTCTTCTGTTCCAATTGTTTTAAAGTATTATGTAATGGGGGGAAACGAGATTGAGAAAGGAGGTCATGCAGAGGCCTAGGATGATAATCTGAGGTCTGAGACAAAGGGAAACAGATATGCATAATCCGCAAGAGCAGACTCAGACACACTTTCTTTGTTTCATGCCTGTTTCTGGTCTCCTTTTTAATTTGAAAGGGAATTACATACGTAGCTTGAATATTTTTCTCTCTGTGTGATATTTAATTAGCATGGGAGAATACAATGATAAACATTATAAACCACTTGATCATTTTCAGGAGATGAAAATGTGGAAAAGGCCATTCTTTCCATTTATTTCTCAGCTACTAATACCTTTTGAGTTTGTTATATAATTGCTTGATATCTGGAATTTCTTTAACTGTAGGCATTTCTAAGTAAAGAATTGCTAAAGAAACAGACTCAGCCAAAGGTTTGGGTAGTTGTCTCTTGTCAACCCCATTGAGACTTTGCTCCTGTTGTTCCTTTCCCTTTTGTTTCTAAGTCTACATTGCAGTATTCAGGGTTTGTATGAATGGTCTATGTAATCTAAAATAGCTCAAATAGGATGCCAACACACTCCTGTCCAAGTAGTCCAGTGCAAAAGGCTGCATGAAGCAAGAGGTTGTTACTGTCGTAAAGGAAAAGTTTCATTTTCACGCTTCCTAACAGTTGTCATAAGATGAAAGCTGACCTGAGAAATTCGTGTTTCTGAAATATGAATTGTAATTTGGAAAATTAGAATATCTACATGCATAAATCATATGTGTGAGTTAAAATGTTAGTAGCCACATATGTGTACAGTTGAAAATGTTTATAAATATGTTTAAGTTAATGAAAAAAATGCTTACAAAATGCAGTTTTAGCACTGGGTAATGGGGGGGGGGAGCCATAATATGAATAAAAGATGGGAGTGAATGCAGACATGATCTGAAAGAATGAGAAATGGAGAATTTTTCATCAGTCTGCTATAGGGGCATTTGAACCATGTTGCCATGCCAGGTAGCTCTGCACACCTTTTTTCTTTTTTTAATCTGTTTTCCCAGTCACCTACCTCCACACAACTTGTCAGCTCCTCCAAGGCTCCCCCCCCCTCCTTGATCAGACTTCCTATTTTGACATTATGAGAGGAACAGTTTTGCTCTTTTATTCCTTCCCCGCTTTTCCAGGAATAATCAATACGACCAATGTTTGAGAGCTGTTCTTCAAAATATTCAGCTAGTGTGAGTCCTAAGCAACAGTGGCTTCATGCTATGTACCTTTTTCCATTCCTGTCTTGTAGCAGGGCCCAAAATGGCAGTACTAACCAAGAAAAAAGGCTACTCCAGCAACTCCGCGAAATTACCAAGGTCATGAAAGAAGGCAAACTCATTGATGGAATCTCCCCAGAACAAGAAGCTGAAGAAGCACCATATATGCAAGACTGGGAAGGTAAGTAAGAGGGCTTTTGCATATTATCTGAAGAGAACCTGAGATTAAGTCAGTTGTTTTTCATCCTCAGGAAGAGCTTCTCAGATAACGCCATTCATAGTTCCAAGAAAAATAAGCATCCTTTAAAGACTTGAACGGGAGAGTCACATTAGAGACTCAGATTATTCAAGTTTGCAAGTATGTTTTGTTACAGTATAGGAGTGGACAACTTCAGAAGGCCCATGGTCCAGTTCTCTTTGGAGAAGTTACACATTGCCCACTTTCACTACATCAGATGCTATAGCTGGCCCTTGGTATCCACTGGGGTTTGGCTTTGGGAGTCCTCTGGGGATACCAAAATCCATAGATGCTCAAGTCCATATATCCAATGGCATAATATAATAACAAATGTCTATTGTATAAAATGGTGACCCACTCAAATACATGCCAGGGAGATTTGTGTAATGATGATAGGCATGCACATTAGTGTAGTGCTCAGTTCATGGCAAAATCAAGATTTGCTTTTTGGATTTCCTTTGAATATTTTCAAACTGTGGTTGGTTGAATTTGTAGATGCAGAACTCGTAGATATGGAGGGCCAACTGTATATAGATATTTTTTTTCAAAACTAAAAAGCAGGAGGGCCTTTTGATAACAACCTGGATTGGAAGGGCTGCCAAAAGAACAAGGAACAGCCCAAGAGGTTCTGCATTGGCTTTACACAGTAACTTGTACAAATGTGTTAACTTAGTGCAAACAGTGCTGCTAGTGGTGATTTTCTGTCTAGTAATACTTGCTGGATTAAATGTTATCCAGAACTAGGAATGGGGGTGAGGGGAGTGGCCAATATTTCAGCCAAAATTGGCAGCAGATTCCAGCCATGACAAAAAATGATTTGGGTCCCCTTGCACCAAAAGACCCCCCCCCCCCCCCCCAAAAGAGACCTGGCCCAGGTTTTGACTAAAAAATGGATGTCACTTCAGATTGTGCTGAGAGCAAAGCTAAATCTTGCCCCACTGCATTTTTCCACCATTGTAATATGTTGACCACATTTTAGTAGGTAAAGAAGCTATTCTAGACTACTGTCCTAATCCCACTGATGAGAAAATACATGCAGTGGCAATTAATGGCATTTCCCTCAGGTATTCAAGTATTAGTCAAATTTTGGAAGCCCATCTTTGTGCAGATCCAGTGATAAAGTGTTGGATTGATTATTCCATTGATCGAGACATTTATTTTATATCCTAAGGTTATCCAGAAGAGACCTATCCTGTCTATGATAATTCTGATTATATGAAGCGCAGACAGGACACGATTCTTGTGGATTGCCCTGACCTGAGCCAGCCTTCTGCTGAAGAGATAGCGGAGCAAATGGAATTTGTGGACGATGAGGATTATTTGTGTAGTGAAACCCTTTTGTCTGCTCTCGATGTAGTGAATGATGGCCCTGAAACTGGACACGAGAAGGACCGGCACTCCACTTTCAGTGACCAGAATGGGACTGGCCGCAACTTTGAGAAGTGCTATTGTTGTCAGTATGAAGAGGATGACCCTGCTGTGATAGCTGAGAATGCAGGGTTCTTCTCTGATAGCTGTAGCGAAACCGAAGAGCCGACCAGAGGGGAGTCGTCGTTGGTGGATTCTGACCATGAAAACACAGTGCCCAAAGATCAAAGCGATGGAGATGCCGATGATGTTGTCATTCTGAGGAAGCGAAACACAAAAGGGATGGAACTGCTTGGACAATGAGGAACATGCCCTCTTGTACAATTCCTACAGACTGCGATCTTTGCTTCTAGGACACAGGTGTACCTCTCCTGCCATGTACCTCGCTGAAATCCCATAGCAATGGCTGCTTATTTCATTGGGGAGTTAGTAGTTCTCCCGATCAACTGAACCCAGCAACAGTAGTGCCAACTGCTTGCTTTAGCCAGCCAAAGAACCTGAAAACAAGCTAATTTCCCCATAGATTCCATGTGCATGTTCTCTCACAGCTTTGTGTCTCCTGGCCTGAAGCTTAGCTTCACCACAACCTGTAGAACTGTATGAAGTACAAAAAGGCATCCAGTAGAGCTTTCTCCCGCTGCATACGAAGTCTAATATCTTTTACTTGTGGCTTATTTGCCGTGGGCACCTCTGGATTTATCATCAGGTAGGCTGAGGCAGTTCATTTTGGATGCCATCGCAGAAAAGCCTTAAATACTCATTTTTCTTTTTGATCATCTTAGGAGATACCATTTGCCATTAGAGGATTATTTGTCTTTTGGCAAGAGATGTGAACCATTTTATTATGAGAAAGTGAAAGGGATGTTTTAATGCCATCCTTTTCAAGCAAATGCTAGCTGTATATCTTAGCTGGAAGGCAGGGAGCTCCTGTGTATTAGCTGAGTGACTCATTCCATTTCTCCTCCTCGTAATTAACAAAAAGCAAAGACTCGTTCTCTCCTCCGTCACTAATGATGTTAAAGGGGAATGAGTAATCAATTTCACCTCATCTGTGGCTCAGCATTTGGAGCCCTCCTCTCAGCTCACAGCTTCTTTCACACGATTACTTAATTTTCATGGCCAAGTTTCAATGTACAATTCTGTGAGTGTGCTTGGATTATAACTGAGGAGAAGAAGAAAAAATCATTTTGGTGGTGGGGACAAAAAAGTCAATAATGGCCAATATGTTTGATTTGACAGAGACTAAAAGATACTGTAAGGAACCAGTGATCTGTGGAGGATATTTATTTATTATTTTACTTATTTATTTATTTGACATTGCATTGCAATTCCCAGAACTTGCCAGCCAGCATGGCCTAGGGGATATTGAAAGTTGCAGTCCAATGAAATAACTTCCAAGCTCTTGGAAAACAAGGACGCAGCCCTGTCTCAGTAATATAAGAAAACCTAAGATACAAAGAGACTTCCCAGGGTCGAGGGGCACAACAAAGTAAAATAATGTAATACTCCTTTGAGCCCCGAGCTCAATTTTTTTTCATTTAATATTTATTTTCTATTGTTTTTCCAAAGGCAGCCACAGAAGCTGTTATCTTGAGAACACCAGTAGGGGGAATGATGAAACTATTTCTTTAAAATATTCCTTCTAAACTATGTTTATGACAGATCTAGCTATATTTTTCTAAGTTGTATTAATTTATTAGAGCACATATTTGCATATGAGACTTGAATTTGAAAAGGAATGCAGAAGATCATTTCTCTTATTTATTTATTTATTTATTTATTTATTTATTTATTTGCTTTACTTCTATACCGCCTTTCTCAGCCAAAAAAGGCGACTCAAGGCGGTTTACATAGTAAAGGTTAACACAACAATATCAAAAAGCAGTTAAAACACATTATACAGAACATATCAATCAAACAGTCATTAACATAAACGTGCGCCTCAGCAAACAAATCAAAATCAGAATCCGCAATCATAATCCTTTATACCAATTCCTATGTTTGATTGTACCATCTTACTGTGTTTCATTGCACAATTAGCCAAACGCTTGTTCATAAAGCCAGGTCTTGACCTTCCTCCGGAATGCCAGCAGTGAGGGGGCCTGTCTGATGTCCACAGGTAGGGCGTTCCACAGCCGGGGGGCCACCACCGAGAAGGCCCTGTCTCTCGTCCCCGCCAACCGCGCCTGCGATGCGGGCGGGACCGAGAGCAGGGCCTCCCCAGACGATCTTAATGTCCTAGTCGGTTCATAGGAGGAGATGCGTTCGGAGAGGTAAGTAGGGCCAGAACCGTTTAGGGCTTTATAGGCTAAAGCCAGCACTTTGAATTGTGCCCGGTAGCAAACTGGCAGCCAGTGGAGCTGGCGCAACAGAGGAGTAGTATGCTCCCTGAGTGCCGCTCCTGTTAGCAACCTGGCTGCCGAACGATGGACCATTTGAATCTTCCGAGCAGTCTTCAAAGGCAACCCCACGTAGAGAGCGTTGCAGTAGTCTATACGGGATGTAACCAGAGCGTGGACTACCGTGGCCAAGTCAGACTTCCCAAGGTACGGGCAGCTGGCGCACAAGTTTTAACTGTGCAAATGCTCCCCTGGTCACCGCCAAAACCTGGGGTTCCATGCTCAGCTATGAGTCCAGGATCACACCCAACTGCGAACCTGCGTCTTCAGGGGGAGTGCGACCCCATCCAACACAGGTTGTAACCCTATACCCTGTTCGGCCTTACGACTGACCAGGAGTACCTCTGTCTTGTCTGGATTCAATTTCAATTTGTTCGCCCTCATCCAGACCGTCACAGCGGCCAAGCACCGGTTCAGGACCTCGACAGCCTCCTTAGTAGCAGGTGGAAGGAGTGACAGAGTTGGACATCATCTGCGTACAGATGACACCGTACCCCGAAACTCCGGATGATCTCACCCAGCGGCTTCATGTAGATGTTGAACAACATGGGAGACAGTATAGAGCCCTGAGGAACCCCACAAGACAATGGTTGTGGGGTTGAACAGGTGTCTCCCAATAACACCTTCTGAGACCGACCCTCTAGGAATGACCGGAGCCACTGCAAGACAGTACCTCCAAGGCCCATCCCCGCGAGGCGTCCCAGAAGGATACCGTGGTCGACGGTATCGAAGGCCGCTGAGAGGTCCAGCAGCACCAACAGGGACACACTCCCCCTGTCGAGCTCCCGGCGCAGATCATCCACTAAGGCGACCAAGGCTGTCTCGGTACCATGTCCCGGCCTAAAGCCAGACTGTGCCGGATCTAGATAATCCGTGTCTACCAAGAATGCCTGGAGTTGTGAGGCCACCACACGTTCCATGACTTTGCCCAAAAAGGGGAGATTGGAAACAGGCCGATAGTTGTCTAATTGAGTGGGGTCCAGTGATGGTTTTTTTCAACAGTGGTTTTATGATAGCTTGTTTTAAGCTCGCTGGAATGATGCCTTCCTGAAGGGAGGCATTAACCACCACCTTCACCCACTCGGCCAATCCCCCTCTGGCTTCTTTCAAAAGCCAGGATGGACAGGGGTCCAGGATGCATGTGGTAGGCCTCATTCCTCCAAGTATCTTGTCCACATCCTCGGGTTTCACCAATTGAAATGAATCCAATAAAACCGGACAAGCAGGTGCTCCAGCTACATCCTCATCTACTGCCGTTAATATGGTGTCCAGACCAGAACGGATCAAAGCGACTTTGTCTGCAAAGAACCGAGCAAAAGCATCACAGCGGGCTGCCGGGTTGCCAGGGCTCCCGTCTTGAGCGACGGGATTTAAAAGGCCTCTGACAACTCGAAACAGCTCAGCCGGTCGGTTCTTTGCAGACGCAATAGTGGCCGCGAAGAAAGATTTCTTCGCGGCCTTTATTGCCGCGGCATATGCCCTTAAAAAGGACACAAACCGTGTTCGGTTTGGCTCGCTCGGATCAGAACGCCACACGCTCTCTAGTTCCCTCTTCTTTCGCTTCATCACTGCCAGCTCCTCGTTGAACCAAGGAGCTGGTTTAGCTCGGCTACTTGAGAGGGGACGTTCCGGGCAATCTTACGCCCGTTCGTTACACCACAATCTTAGGCATTACTCAGAAGTAAACCTCAATGTGTAGAATGAGGCCTGTTCCCAGGGAAAAATGGATGTGATTGTAGCCAGTGCCAATGAATTTAATGAGATTTCTTGCTGCATTTTTAAGGCATACTTCTGAGTAGACATGTATAGGATAGCACTGTTGTGGATATATCATTCTATGTCAGTGTTTCTCAACCTTTGGGTCCCCAGATGTTTTGGCCTTTAACTCCCAGAAAACCTAACTGCTGGTAAACTGGCTGGGATTTCTGGGAGTTGTAGACCAAAACACCCAGGGACCCACAGGTTGAGAAACACTGTTCTATGTAGCATTTGTCCAGTGGTTTGCTAGGAATCTTGGGTGTCAGGGGAGGGAGATTGTATGTATGTATGCATTCATTCATAATTTAGAAGTAGTTCTATCATATATAATGATGTATCAGTTGACCTTATGTATAAGATGGAGGCAACTTTTGGAGCCAAAATTATGGATTTTGATATGACACATGGATACGTTGATGGTCATTCTGTGGAGAGGGCTGCTTCTTTTAGGTTCTCCCAGGATGGATTCATCTCTTGCCTTTGACATTCTACTCATAGAAGAGGGTAGTTTCTTTTTAAATAAGTGTTAAGGTATAGGATAAAAACCCAAGTTTTTTTAGGGTTGATTTTTTGACTAAACTTTCTAGACTTATACATTGTAATTTTATCACAGCTTGAGCATCCCTTATCCAGAATTCCAGGATACAAAATACCCCAAAATTCACAATTACATGGATGTCTCAGGATACACAATCTTTGTTTCATGCACAAAATTATTTAAGATATATAATATTACCTTCAGGCTATGTGTATAAAGTGTTTATGAAAAATAAGTGAATTCCATGTTTAGACTAAGATCCCACCTGCAAAACATCTTATTACATGCATATATCCAAATACAGATATTTCAAAATCTGGAGAAAAAAACATCCAAAACATTTCTGGTCCCAAGCATTTCTGATTAGGGATACTCAACCTGTGCTATTAATGCCTGAACTACAGGCCATTTGCATATGAACAAGTGAGTAATATTAAAAATTACAATATGGAACAACATATACATTTAGAATACTTTTTTTTCAAAATCAATGGATATAAATTAAAAAAATATTATGATTACGTAAGAACATCCCTAAACAACCAACTACAATTTCACTCATAAATCTTGTCTGAATTTTCATTGCTGCCAGGGCAACAGGAGTTAGTATCAGACATAAGAAACAAAATCTTCTCTGGAACAATTTTTAAATTTATAATTCCACCTTTCTATGAATGTGTGACCATAACTAATTTACTTCATACATTTAAACAAAATACAACCAAAAATCCTAATGATAAAAAGTTTTAAAACCCCATGCTATCCTATTAAAAACAGTAGACATTTTGAGCCAACTCCAAAGAACCATTTGCCCTGTTCTGTTGTGACATTTGCTTCAGTCTCAGAGCAGGTAAGCATCTAAACAATCACTGCTTTTCCTCACATGGAGGTCCATGTGGAGTATTTCCACTCCCCCCTTTTGGTGTGGAATAAAAGGTTACATTGAATCACTGAAGATATCTGCAGTGTATGTGTATTAATAGGACCTCATGGCTTTTGCTGCCATAAATTTCATTACCCAAAGAAGGGGCTGGAAAATCATATGTTTGGCCAGCAAATGCTTTGATCTGCTTTTGAACTGGAAATAAAGGACATCCATCATTCCAGATGCTCAAGAGTTTTAGGAAAACCTACCTTTGTGTAGTTGGTCATCACCATTTTGTGGTTTAGAGAAACCGACGTTGAAGAGCCCATGACACTAATGGGAAATGGTAGAAGAAATACTGTGAACATATTTCTCATTTTGACTAGATAGTTATGTTTACCTTATTTATCTGGGAAAAGGGCAGGGCAGCAATCTAGTACAGTGTGATGTTTACAGCTTTGGGGGGGGGGGGGGGGGGGGGGAGCGAGAGATTCCCCTGACTTGTTTTTCAAATGGCTCAAGTAAAATATCAGCTGTACTTCTGTTGGTTCGAATTTAATTAATCAATAATTAAACTGCGGATCTGTACATCAGTAAATCCAATTCATGCAATAGTACTACTTCAGCTTTTTTTTCTTCCGTGTCAGGAGCAACTTGAAAAACTGCAAGTTGCTTCTGGTGTGAGAAAATTGGCCATCTGCA